TTCGTTTTTTTTGTTTTTCACGTATAGACTAGTTTCAGTTTATATCACTCGTTTTGTCCATTTCTGTCCGTTTTCAGTGTGCATTTTAGTGTTTTTTTTAAAAAAAGGTCTTAAGCTTTTGCAAGCAACTATAACATAGTTTGCTTCAACACCGTCATGAAAAACTCATGCAAACGTCCGGGATGCCGTTTTGCTGTCACAACTGGCATGCAGTGCGACAACTGCAAAGGTTGGTTCCACGAAGCATGCACAAATCTGACAGCAACTGCTTACAACAGACTCAGCAAGTCTGACCAAAAGTGGGTATGTGTCACGTGCAACACGGACGCAGTAGTCTTGCTGAGTAACATCATTGTCCTACTGACAGGTCTTCGAAACAAGCTGTCAGTTAACTTGGAATACGACAGTAAAAAAACTGATATACAAACAAGAGCGCGCAACGGACTCAAAAATAGGGATGTCGATAGGTATACCATCGATGGAGCATCCATCAACACTAATGACGACGTGTCGAGGCTCAGTACCATCATTACGTCGACGGTACTAGACTCCCTAGGCAAACTCGGGTCTCCCAGCTCAGGGTCCCTGAACACAACAGTGGTTCCCGAAAACCCTGCAGGTGATTCGACCCACGTTAAGAGAGCCCAAAAGAACCAGGCATCACCGCCTAAGCCGAGCAACCCAAGTGTTGCTGCACGGAAAATAACTGGTGATTTAGTCGCACAGTCTACCCCCAAGACTGTTCGTCCGGTCAATAAAGAGCCTAAGATTCATAAACGCACACTGACCTCCAAACAACAAGTTATTAAACGTGAACCCATCGTGAAACCTGGTAAATTAACAACAGTTCGTGACGATTCTCTCATTATCATGAACCTCGTCGACAATCCTGACCTTCCTCTCAGTCTGCAGGATAAAAACGACAGGATGCTGTGGAGTGAATTGAACAAGAAGCTTGAACTTCCTAGAATAGAGCCTTTGACGGTCACCCGGCTCACTCGAGGAAAGGATTCTAAGCATCTAAATCACCCGAGGCTTCTCCGAGTAACACTTAAGGATGCTACCGACGTAGAGGACGTCTTGCTAGCAAGTCACTTACTGAAATCAGATGGTAACGTAAGAATATTGCCCGACATACCGTACTCTGAGCGCAATATCATACGAAACGTCCCTAAAGAATCTCGCGAGAAGTTTTTCCGCGGACGAAACATAATTGTCCAAGGTATACCGGAAAATGCAGACCCTACTCACTCAAATTCTGACATCAGGGAATGGAAATTCGTCAAACAGTCCTTGAGGCTCAAACACATACTGACTCAGCATGTGACGAGACTAGCCAAGAAGGACGGTGATCTTAGACCCCGTCTAATGAAGATAACCTTCCCATCTTCCCACATGGCGGCTGCAGTTCTGGAAGCATTTCGTGCTAATAGACGTCGATTGCCACCTGGAATCCACATGCACCCGGATAGGCCATACAAAGTCAGGACCAAAAACAAAGGCAAGTTGGAGCTGACCATTCCACTTGTGGACTGTCTAAACGATAAAAAAACGTGTAAAGGACAGGGCCTACCACCTCGGTAAACCTCATATAGGTGGGCTACCTGTCCATTCACATAAGGTTCATACAGAAAAACAGGACGAAGCTCATGCGTTCCAAATTGAAAGCATAAACTGCTTATATATGAACGCTGCGAGTTTACCAAACAAACTGGATGAACTACGTGAACTTAGCAACGCTAACAAGGCCCATCTGATAGGAATATCTGAAACCTGGATATCTTCTCAGTTCTCGGATCAAGAGTTAGCATTGCCTGGGATGACTTTGTTCCGCAACGACAGAAAAATAGGAATTGGGGGCGGAGTAGCCATATACATAAGCTCTTGCTTGGAGGTGCACCAGGTTCACAACCTCGAGTTTAACAATCTTGAGGAATCCATATGGTGCTCTGTAAGGTTGTCTAGTACTTCCAGGTGTCTAGTCGGAGTCATTTACAGGAAGCCAACTGCCGACACCGAGTACGATAGTCGTATGCTGGAAGGACTATCCCGCTCTATCCGTCTCGGTTTCACACACATCCTGATTCTAGGGGACTTTAATCTCCCTAGAGTCAACTTCGCGGAACACACGTACACTGGAGGCGAAAACTCAACTGAAGCTCGGTTCTTCAACCTCATCGATAACTTGGGCTTATATGAAAATGTGAGGTCGGCAACTCGTTGGAGAAACAGTCAAACACCATCGCGCTTAGACTGTGTATTCACTAACGAAGAATTCCTAGTCGACAACCTCTCAATCCTGGCTCCTCTGGGAAAAAGCGATCATGCCGTCATAGCCTTCAGTTTTGTCATCAAAACTAAGCTAAGGTATCCCAACAATAATTTGCGTTGGAATTTTAAACGGCTGAATGTGCCAGCTCTACATGACTATCTACAACAGGTGGTTTGGGATGTTCACCCTCAAATCGATGTGGATGGTCATTGGGACTTCTTACTGCACACGCTCTTATGTGCTACAGACCATTCAGTTCCTCAAACGGTTCCCAAAAGCTTCAAGCCACCTACAGTAATCAAGAACCGTACCCTTCGCCTCCTAAGCCGCAAACGGCACTGTTGGGCGGAATACAAACGAACTAATAATGATGGAGCTTATAGGCAATACAAACATATCAGGAACACATGCACGAAGGCTATAAGAGAAGACAGGCTTCAGTACCAAACAAAGCTTATGGACAAATTCGCCTCTAACCCTAGAAGCCCATTCCGTTATGCAGCCTCTCTTCGTCAAGCCAAAACAGGAGTTTCTCAACTGCTAGGTCCTAACGGCCCGACCAACAACGATGGCGACGCCGCTAACCTTCTGGCGGCCCATTATTCTCAAACATTTCAACCGGCTGATATCAACTTTATTGACGACAGTTTCATCTGCAATTCCACAGGACTTTCTGAAGTGGACCTAAGCGCTGACTTGGTGTTCCGGAAACTGCAGCACTTAAGACTTGACACTTCTCCTGGCCCGGATATGGTTCATCCTGCCATACTGAGGGAGGCAGCCTTAATCCTGGCAACGCCGCTTAGCGTGATGTTTTCACACTCGCTTATCCGAGGCAAATTACCGGAAAATTGGAAGTTGGCTCACATCACACCAATTTTCAAAGGTGGTCGACGCAATGAACCTTCAAGTTATCGGCCGGTAGCTCTTCTGTCGTTACCTTCAAAACTCATGGAGTCCCTGATATGCGACGGTTTAAATGACTATCTACTGTCCTTAAATTTCTTCTCACCCCAACAGCATGGTTTCAGGAAGGGTTACTCTTGTATAACCAACCTGCTGACTGCGGTGGACAGATGGACAAGCATCCTTGATCGCAAGGGAAAGGTTGATGTCATTTACCTTGATTTCTCAAAAGCTTTTGATAAGGTTAACCACTTGTGTCTTATCAACAAGCTCAAACGACTAGGTACCAAACCACCTCTAATCGACTGGCTTACTTCATACCTAAAAAATCGACACTTTAAGGTTAGGGTTAATTTCACTTTATCTCAAGCTATGGAATGTCCTAGTGGGGTCCCCCAGGGCTCAGTACTAGGGCCTCTTCTCTTCTTGATCTACATAAATGATCTTCCTCAACAGGTAACGTCAGACTTATTACTTTTTGCCGACGACGTGAAACTTTGGAGAGAGATACGCAACCAAGACGATATACAGGCGTTTCAAGAGGATCTGACTCGACTTCAAAGTTGGGCAGACGATAACGGACTTACCTTTAACACTTCAAAGTGTAAAGTAGTCCATCTGCGACATGTCGCAAACTACAGTTACAACTTAGGAAACTCCTCTCTAGTAGTGTCCCAAGTCGAAAAAGATTTAGGAGTCCTGGTGCCCCATGACTTAAAGTCTTACGCTAACTGTGACAAAAATGCCTTCCGAGCAAACCTTGCACTGGTAACGTTGAGGCGCATTTTGGCCAGTTTGACGGAAGAACTTTCCACACAATCTTCAATAGTTTCATCCGTCCCCATTTAGAGTACGGAAACATAGTACTCCCCCCCTCACTCCAAAAGGACAAGGTCACTTTGGAGCGTATCCAACGGCGAGCCACGAAGTCAGTTCGAGGACTCAAATCTAAGCCTTACGAAGAACGCCTCTGTTCACTAGACCTTTACCCACTAGAATATAGGCGTCTTAGAGGTGATTTATTAATGGCTTATAGTATTCTTAACACTTCTGGACATCCTCTTAAACACCTACTTAAGCTTAGTTCGAATAATAACCTAAGGGGTAACACCCAGAAACTGGAAACACAACATAGCAAGACGGAATGTAGACACAACTTCTACTCCTTAAGAGTTGTCAAAAGCTGGAACTCGCTGCCGGCCGAGCTAGTCCAAGCGACTTCTCAGGAGTCCTTCAAGAGGCAACTTGACCTATTCTTAAGGACCAAGGACAGCATCACACTATGATTTACCAATTTCTTTTCCTCTTTTATTGTTAACATACCTAGGTTCCTGCCTGGAGGATTTGGTGATCCCCTGCTACTAGACACGGAAGCCTGTTAAGCGAAAGCTTCTTCTATTCCGTCCACAACCATTTGAACCATTTGAACCATTTAATTTCACTTGATTGACACATTTCAATTATGAAAGTTGGTACTCGTTAAGGTGTTGTCAAACTACTAACACTTGTGAAACACGTAATTCAAGCTCCATTTGTCGATGCCTTCAAAAGAACGTTGAATCAACTGAGAGACCACCACTGTCAAGAATAACGCAGACCATCTAGCCTCCTGTCTCTTTCAAAATGAAACCGATTGTAGAGCAAAGCAACATATATGTAGGTAACGGACTATATGGAAATCAAAAGCGATAAACGGTTATGTTCTCAGTATTCAGATGGACAGTAAGTTCGTATAAATAAGCGAAAAACTGCATGAATATGTCAGTCCATGTGTACATCGTAATCATACTGACTTTGTTTATTTAATTACTGAAAATTGGCTACCATGACAACAAACTCGATCTCAATAACAAAAATTAGCGTCGCTACGTCAAGTTCAGGGAATACCACTATCCCTTGCCAACGTCCTATGGATGAAAATAAGAAGTCACTGAATGATACATGTACAAAAAATTGCGAATTGAGTAACAGTTCTGCAGATATCGCACTTGGATCTCAAACATCAGATTACTATCGAACAGATAAAAGATTGCCATATCGCTTTAACAATCCCGGTAGACATTAACTAATACTTATATCTGCCAGATAAGTTTGGGGGTTATGATGGCCCGAAATTAAACCCACTGTATAGAACAACCAATTCAGAATATGGTAGGCTTAAACCAAACGTACATACGATGAATGTTGTCTATTACAACAAAAATCAGGAATTTTCCAAGGTATTCCACATAAATTTTATGCTGATTTTTAGCGTTACATGAAAGCTGGCAATTACAGGAATCACTCCTTGAATACTGCAATCGATCATAAATATTCATAATATTATGAATGTATATGTTCATAGTAATTACTATGCCATTGATTCAGAATGTCAAGATAAACCATAAGATGTGGACCAATGTGTTGGGCTTATTTCAGTTATCAGCCCTTCGCGTGTATTGTTACCTACGAAAAGTGTATGTATTCTACTCAAAATACAATTCACTTGTGAATTCATAATTTAGATGTTCTTATTAGTCTTGTAGTTTAGCTAACTGGCTTAAGATTCAAGGTTTAAAGCAAAGTATGTGAAGTTACTGTAAGAATACTGAAAGTTATCCTACGACCTAGGTGGAAGATTGATACCTGCGTACTAAGATTCACATTTACCAAGACAAAAGTAGACAACATTTAATAAGGTCATCGTTGACTGTATGCAGATTTGTACAGTGAGTGAATTAGCAGTGTCTTTCAAAACTTGTATCTCCTAGAAAATATCGAGCATACGTGTCAAACACTAAGGACAAATTTTTTGACCATCTCCTTAGGGGAATGGATAGTCGAAGGGGAATTTTTCGTTGCTATTGCTTGGTAGGTCTTATAAACATGGGTCACCAAACCGTACGTATCGTAGGTAACATTGTGTAACATCCTACCAAGGCTCAGTGAAGACATCTGAATCCTTCTTTGTAAAGTTAAGAGTATTTGGGGAAAGTTGGGGTTTATAAGGAGTGACCAAACTAAGTGTCATCATTCAAAAACTAAGAATTCCCGAGTTTTAATTCCAAAGAAATCTTTAAAAGAACGTATGTCAAAACTTACTAGTTACTATACAGAATGAACGAAATGCGTTTTTATATAAACGAGATAAAGCCCTGTAATATTCTTGGGTTGCATGGAGATATTTCTACTTTCTTCCTAGTGACAAAACCTAATGTTATCTTGTATTCAAGGCAGACACGGTCTTGAGAATTGTTACCCACTTTTTAACCAAAGCATGAACAATCAACAAGGTAGAATAACACGAACTCATTGTATTTCGTGGTTTCTCATCAGCTGTTTACAATCTAGACATAATAGCATCAATCTTTAAAAGTCAGTGTACATACTTTATATCGTAACATGGGAAGAGTTTCCATCAATCTTGATTGACGAAAAGGTTAACAAGTACGAAAGAACGATATAGGATTTTCATTTGTTAATCGATGTGAGTATTTACAGGTTGAATGTGAGAATATCCTAGAATAAACAACTAAAAACAAAACCACTTGGAAATAATATATTAATGGTAGTTATGTAACCCTTGAAGAAATTATTGTTGTTAATATACTAGCATATAAATTATAATAAGTGTGTACTAAAACATATGGTTAGTATATTATTTTCAAGTGGTTTTGTTTTTAGTTGTTTATTCTAGAATATTCTCACATTCAACCTATAAATACTCACATCGATTAACAAATGAAAATCCTATATCGTTCTTTCGTACTTGTTAACCTTTTCGTCAATCAAGATTGATGGAAACTCTTCCCATGTTACGATATAAAGTATGTACACTGACTTTTAAAGATTGATGCTATTATGTCTAGATTGTAAACAGCTGATGAGAAACCACGAAATGCAATGATTTCGTGTTATTCTGGTTCATTAACTGTTCTTTCTTCATTCAAATTTATGAATGGAAAAAGTCGTATGAGAGGTTTTCCAGTAGGTTTCATTAAACGAATTGTCAATGTTCAAGAGATTATTATCAAGGAATTATTCAGACGTATGTATTAAAGCTTGGTACAGTAGCTTCTACAGGTTTAAGAAAAGTTTTTTAAATATATGGCGCATTCAGTCAACAGAAAATTGATATATTCATGAAAATTTACACAGTATTTGTTCACTTGAAACTTTTGTAGTTGCTATATCCGGTGAAGATTAAATTACAGGTAACTTCCAAGGACTATTCATGGACTGATATTCTATAAATATTCTTATTGTATAACTACTCAACAATTACACTATGTATATTTATATTCCTTTTATGATAAGCTTTATTTTTATTTATAATTTATTATTGTACGATTTACGGTTCTTAAGCTATTCTTAGTCTATTAATTACCGTCTCCCTCGTTCACAGTCACTTTTTGGCTTATTTGTGTACACATGTTATTTTTTATTTTATGGTACGTTGTGGTCTGTCTGATTGATATATAAACCGAGTATTTCTGAAATAAACGATTCGATTCATATTACGGAAGCTGGTATTGTGTTCTGGACTCAAGTGGAAGAGCTATGAGGACATAGGACCAATAAGGACGCTAAACTGCCCACACCGGTTGAACGTCATTGATTGATCTAGTGTGAAGATTTGTATAAGTCGTATTCGGATTGGTAGATAATTTGTGTGATAGAAAAGCCAGACGTCAAGCTCATAACAGTAGTCAGTACAGTCAGTCGACCATGGCATGAAAAGATTACTGGCCTTTAAAGTTGTTTTGTGGAACTTCGGCTCTACCGATGTCTTGAATCTCAATGTCAACGTACGACGAAGGACTAACTAGACAAAACTTGTCCATCTCATCACACAGAAGAATCCGAGGTAACTCGGTCAGCCTTTGAATTACTTAATAACGATTTGTTATGCCCTCACTGTTCGCTTTCCAGAACAGAGGATGTACAAAGACTGCTTAAATAAGTTCACAAGCTTAGGACAAACAACTTGACAGCTGACTACTGATCGTTTTCTACAGAATCACCAACATGTGGAACTCTTTAACCTAAAGTGTGCTTACACGTACTTCTGTAAACCTATTCAACTGGAAGACTCAAACCGTCAAGACTAACACAGGCCTACCAACTTTCTGACCTGGTCAAACTGAGACTGAATTTGAAATTCTGACAACTTTTAAAGTTTTTAGAATACGTACACAATCTAACTAGCTTTAGCTGAGTGTCAACTGAAGGACAATTAATAAGTTTGGTGTCTATATACAGCTTTCATAGGCGTATGAAAAGATGGCTCGGATAATTGAGGTATTACGAGTTATTAGAATATAATTTTTATTTGTCCATTGCACCATAGACATAAACCTGGTTGTCTTTCATATTTTTTAGTATTAGGTTCTCAATCTGACGTCGCTATTCATCAATCAACCACTCGTAATTGTCCATGTATTCATGAAGTTGGATGAATAAATAGTTCCACAAGTTTTAGGTAACCTTATTTAGTGTTGAAAATTTAGCAACTAGATAAAATAAGGCTAAAAATTTATCTTAAGGTCACTAGTTTTATACTGGAGTAAGACCAGTCTTCATAAAATTGGTCGAAGTGTGTGAAACTATCCTGAAGGTTACTGTAAAATACAATAAAAACTGCATGTGTGTCACCTCAAACTTCTTGCAACATTGACTCATAATCCTTGTGACCATCCAGACAGAATACTGAACCAAACCGCGCTACGATTTATGGATTTCAACAAATACGTTGACAGTTTTTCCACAAAACTGAGATGGTCACTCTGTAGTGACTGTTATTTTGGGCCTCCACAAGATTGTGAATAATTACTGAATCAATAAAGAGCTTGAAAGGGAAAGTGTGTATCAGCCGAATTCCAAAGTGAGCTTATCCTAGCTTTCCGACGAACTTTAGCAGCTCAAATAAAATGTGAATCCTTTTTAATTTTCTAATAACTCTATTATCTTTACAGACAAGTATGACCTTCCTTGCGTGTAACTCTTTTGTTTATGTTCTTACATTTTCAAACCTAGACGTCTAATGTGAGGTTATATATGTATTTGTGCATCTGTATCATGTCTAGTGAGTCTCCTCGCTCGTACAATTCAATGTCTATTTTAGACTATATTAATCCTTGTCATGAACAATATATGTGGTAAATACCTTACAGGAAATGTATATATTCTGGCTGCCATCTTTACTGGGATACGTCTGGATGATAATTAGTTTGTCTTCGTCACTCACTATACTTACCACCGATCCTGTTCACTATAGTAAAACCTTCACACTGTCGTAGCAATAAAATACTGTTAGGCGGACGGTCGAGTCTATCATGAACATTCTGTGGTGCGGGTACCAAAAGACGATGATTTAGCATTCCTTCCACTTGATTCACATTTACGTGTGCAAACTCTTGTTTGTCTTTGAAGTCATCATGTTAACAACAAATGAATTCATGATAAACCGTGAAATGTTCAGTGGTTTAACATCTCACACAGAAATGCTAATTAACTACCACTACCTTCAACCTCTATAATCAGCAATAACTGACCAACTAACAGTCGTGAGTTCATGCAACTACCTGAGAACTGATAATCAACACCTTTATGCATAAACTACTACATTGGTATGCCTTGGTGGTTCAACTATTCATAACACACTCATTGTACTACACATTCTCACTCTTAAAAATTTCCTTTATTCATTTCGAATAAGAAGCAAAAATACTGCGTAAATAAAGAGGAAGACTAACTTGTGATTAGAACAAATAGACATTGCTAGCACGCTGCTATGGAGGCACCAATGTGTATCAAAATTGTAAAAATAATGTAAGAAAAATGTTTGATAAATGCTCATTGAGTATATAAAAACTAATTTAATGCATAATAACTCTCATGGTTACACATTTCTCCAGATAATTAAAGTAACCCATTGTATCGCAGAATAAAAATAAAGCGAATTCAGCGGTAATTTTCTTTTTGATAAAATCACTTACTTAAGCTATACATTCGTATTTATAATTATTTAGTAATGATATAATTCAAGAGCAAAACGGAAAAGATTGAACCATAAGGTGATTTGATGTTTCAAAATACGCAAGTCCTCTTGATATTTGAAATCTCGAATAAATTGATGATGTAAACTTTTCTACCATTATAGGATTACCAAAAAATTATAAATACGAATGTTCAGCTTAAGTAAATGATTTGGTCAAAAAAGAGAGTTTCTCCGCCGAATCCTCCTTAGTTTTACGAACGTCCCTCGTCCAACCTTTTCACAAATGAAAGCACTTAGAAGTCACAAATTCACACTATGGTTAACGGCCTAGTGAAAACACACGTCAATATTCATAGATGTTTCGCATAAATACAGCAACTTGTTTGAGTTTTATCCAGTAAACTTATATGTATCATCATTAAAACAATATAAGTACGTATAAAGGAAAAGTTAGTGCAGTTGAAGAGAGTCATTGAGCCCAAGAAGTCATTATATAAAAATTAACCTTCAAAAGTTAGTAATGCTGAAAATATTTGTGAAAATGAGTGATACTGACAGGAAAATTTGTGAAATATTGTGTCTTTACACGAAAGTTATGAATAAAATATAATGTTTAGGCTTACATATATATACAGGGTGAAGACTATTTACATTCATCTTCTGAAGGTAAAGACACATACTAAACTGTCTAGCGAAATATATTTAAATCATTTTCAGAGAGCAAAAAGTAAAAAACTAAAATCCAATTGTCTCAGCTCATGTATTTACAATACAAACACACTATTTATGTGAAAATTATGCTTATGATGTAGTCAATAACTTACAAGTGGGAAGTTTTGTTATGTTCTGCTAATATATGACATCCCTTGCACTAAATGTGCCATAAAAAATTTTTTAAAATTTTTCTCATTGTTCACGTTACCACTATCTTTCTGACTTTCATATAGTTGCAGTTGTTCTTAAACACCATCCATTAGAAATCTGAATA